CTTCTTCACCTCTGATCTGATCAATGGAAAACCTAACCCAATGCCTAGTCCGCTCTGCCCGCTACCTAACGAGCTACATGCTGTCCAGAGGGGGTCTGGTGGCAGCGACCCTTAGGAATTAAGATTAGAGTTAAGTTATCCCCTTAGATTTAGTGACCCCAGATCTGGCAGTATAACAGGATCACCAGCCCCCAATTCTACAATATCCTACACCAGACCGTCCGTTTGACACAGTCGCTATTGACTTATTACAACTCCCGAAGAGTCATCAGGGATCAGCGTACGTCTTAGTGTGTGTGTGGATCATTCTTCCAGGTTCGTGGTCTTGGTCCCACTAAAAGTTAAAACGGCCGATGCTGTGGCCTATGCATTAGTGATGAATCTTATATGTCCATATACTGCGCCTAAAGTTCTGCTCTCTGACAATGGGACAGAGTTCAAGAATCAGCTAGTAGCGCAAATATGTGCGCAAAATGGAATTAAACAAAGTTTTGTGACAGCTTATCATCCACAGGCCAATGGCCTTGTTGAGAGAACCAATCGTAAGATCCTGGAGATACTGCGCCCGATTGTCAGTGATTTGCAATACACATGGGAAGATTGGTTACCGCAGCTGTTATATATATGTATGTTTATATGCTGCCTTTATTGAATGTATATATTATATATTATGTTACTTCTTACGAAATGTGTTAGGCACGTAGTAACGAAGAACAGAGAATAAACAGCCAGCCAGACAGACCATGTGACTCTTCATTCTCCCATAAATAACCCAAGATACTACACTGGCGACGAGGATGGGATTCTCAAAGTGTTGGTGAAGTCCTTGAAGAGAGGATAGTGACCACTTAAGGGAAGGCTACTCTGAACCTGGAGAATTTAAGTGAAGAGAGCAACCATGGCTGGCGTCAGTGGATACATCGGACGAGTGGAGGAGTATGATGCAGACAAGGAAGATTTCACATCATATTGTGAGAGAATGGACTTCTTCTTTCTGGCAAATGAATTAATGGACGACGGTGGGGATGCGGAGAAGAGAAAAGTCCTTGAAAAGAAAAGGAAAGCAATATTTTTGACAGAGGTAGGAGCTAATGTTTATTCTACTCTGGTCAATCTGCTTACTCCAGACAAACCCAAAGACTCCTCACTGATTCAGATTACCAAGATTCTGAAGCAACATTTTGATCCTGCTCCACTTGAGATCGCTGAAAGTTACAGATTTGGCACCAGAGATAGAGGTAAAGATGAATCAGTAAGTAATTATATAGTAGCTTTGAAGAAGTTATCCATTCACTGTAACTTTGGACAGTTCTTGAACCGAGCTCTAAGAGACAGGTTTGTAATAGGCCTGAATTATGAAAAAATACAGAATAAGTTAATGAACACCACTAACTTAACTTTTGAAAGTGCATGTCAGATAGCTACAAGCATGGAATTGGCCGAGAAAAACACCAGAGAATTTGTTCCCAATGCTGGTAGTGAAACAGTTGGCAGTAGTGGCTCAGTGTGTAAAGTAACTGTAGCCAAAAGGAATAAGTATGCCACAAAACAAGGAACACATGCTGATTTAAAATGTAAGAGGTGCCGAGGGAAACATGAAAGCTTTCAGTGTAAGTTCAAGAATTCAAAATGTTACAATTGTCAACGTATTGGACATATTGCTCCTGCCTGTAGAAGTGATAGAGGTAGAGTATATGCAGTTGAAGGTGGAGAGAAGGAAATGAAAAACAGTATTCATGAGTGTTAGTAATTTTGGATCTGATAATGATGAGAGTGCCCATGTGTTTACTATTTACACCAGTCGTGAAGAGAAAGTTAAACATAGGTAT